AATAAAATGGAAATAATCAATTAAATGACAAGGATGTCATAATACTTGAGTACAGTACTACTTTCACCAATAAGTTAGAGAGGGTCAGAAATAGAGAGCTGTTTACAGGGTTAAATAAAAAAGGAACAAATTGAGGAAGGGACTAGCACAAACAACTAAGTCTTGGCAGAAGAATTAAGATATGTGAATACAGGAGGATAGTAAAGATGATAATGTTACTGTCACACTTACTTACTAACTTACTTACTTACTTACTTATGTGAGAAGATGACGTTGTACATTGGGAATCGGAGGGTTTGAGCTGCAACACCCCCTAGAGGTCAGAGGGAAACACTGACATGTTTGTTCTCAAAGTAGGCCTAAAACTCCTGAAGTCCTCACATATCCTACAAAAAAAACATATTTGTTCTTGTCACATCATACAAAAAAAATGTTACATTATTTTTTTCCATTGTGTAATCATTCCTGCACTTCTTAAGTTGTACCAAATAGCAGGGTCTCTCAATACGCAAAATGTGAGTATTTGAGTGTGTTCTTACATTTCTAGATGCTTTTGTATGAGACTTATGTATAGGCATATTGTAAATAATAATAATAAGACGACATACTCTGTAGAAAAAGCACCTCCCACTCCGAATTCCTCTACCTGCGATTTACCATCCTGAAGGGGCGGGGCTAAGTAATCGATAAGGAAGAACAGCTCACCTGTAGCCAAGCCTTTTCCTCAACAAAAGAGCTGGCTTCCCTCATGTTGTCTGCATAAATGATACGTGAGTTTCCTTTGCTTTAAGTTGTAAATGTATAACAGCATAAGAGGTTTATCTATAGGCCTTCTGTTCATCTTATGTTATTAAGCTTGATTACGTTTGAATATATGCTCAAATGTTATTTCAATCATACGTATTTTGTGCAATCTAACTGTGATTTATTATCCACTTTTCTGCCAGATCAACAGCAAACAATCTGAATCAGATAATGAGACAATAAATAAATTATCTGAAACTCCCGCTTGTTATCTTTAAATCAATGACCTCTTGTCCTTGAACCAATCTAACCTTACCCAAAATGAATACACACAATCACTCCTTGAAATCTTTTTTTTTTTTTCTGTTTATGACTTCAGACGGCTTGTAAACAAACTACATGTTTGCCAGGATAATCTCGCAAAGTGTTGTCAGGTAAAGTTTGTATTCATTTGTGTTAGCTTGAACACTTATTAATGTTACATCACTTACAATAGTTTAGTTTGAAGAGAGAAATTTAAATTAAACCGGAAGAAAATAAATACTTTAGTCTGTCAAATGGAGTAGTGGTGCACTTCACCCTCTTGTGGACAGAATTAGTATTACAACAGCAACAACATTCATACCATAAAAACCATAATGACTGCCTGGTAAGTGGTTTTTAATCTTGGAGATGTAGCCTTTATGAAGACAACATTAATAATACGAGACTATTTATAGCTTTTCTTTCACATATTTTTTATAAACCTTGTTATGTTTTTTTTTCTTGTTCCAATATTTAAAAGTCAATTAATACAATCATTATAATGAAGAATATTATGGAAGCACATAGGTGACAATTGCATTATAGTTTATATGATATTAGTATATCTGCATGTTGTATGAGAATTCATTAAAACACTATAATTCAAATTTGCGTTTTCTTTTTTGTAGGAAAATAATATTTAAGTTTTTGTATTAATGATTGATGCCGGCGTGAATCATTGTGTTTAAGAAGTAGATTAAAGTCAGTTGATAGTAAATTGAGAGTTAAAAGACAATAGTACTTTACTCCCTAAAAAAACTAAGTAATTGGGGTAAAAAAATAAATAAAGTCAAGCCCTACTTAGATGTGACAAAATAACAATATATATATAATATCTATTTAAGGAATATACTTGTATATGTAATGGGTGTTAAACAACATGTAGTTAGCATTTCACTAATATTGAAATGTATTAGGTTAGATTAATTCAAAATGTATGGTTTATTTGTTGGACAACTCTGTGTGTATTTAACACAATTGATGTACTTAGTTTTGGTTTGAGCTACATATATTCTTTGAATTGATTTAATCCAATGAGTTTTTTAAGTAATAAACTCAGTCTGACTCATCTTCTAGGAAATAAAACAACAGGTAGAAGGTGGAGAGAGAGAGAGAGAGAGAGAGAGAGAGAGAGAGAGAGAGAGAGAGAGAGAGAGAGAGAGAGAGAGAGAGAGAGAGGCAGATATACAGGAAGTGGTGAGGATGCTCTCCAGTCACTGCAGCTCTCTGCTCTTCACCACGGTCTGCCACAGAGTTCAGATCACACAGCGCAGTATTTTTTCACTGTCCTGCATTCATCTCGTCATCATACAGTACGACCATGCTAATTAAGGTAAGAAGCCAAAGAGTGTTTATTCTTTCTAAAACTACCTTTTCTTCCCATCAACTTTTATTTTTAGTGAGGACTGAGCCACTTCTTTAACTTGCATGTATGTTTAACACTAAGCTGTAACTTGATATGATTAACTGTGTAACTTGATGTTGATTAACTGAATGATAATCAAGATTAGAATACGCTTCATTATAGTGTCACGCAGTCTGTATGTGTGTGTTATTCAAGAGGAAGATGAACTAAGTGTGTCAGGAGGAAATGTGCTAGACTTCCCTTCAGTCAGACAGAAAGTAAAATGTCGGCAGTGAGCTGGACGGGGTTGTCATCGTTTACATGTATGCAAAAGAGCTGCAGTGTGCTGGTTGCGTGAGGGTGTGCAGGGTTTAAATATTCACCTGAGTTTACCTGCCAAATAAGTTATACCATAACACCATACAGCCTAAACTCTTAGCTTTAACTAATGCAGTCTAACACAAGAAAATTCTACATTTTTCTGTAAACTGTTTTCAAAAGTTACTTGTTATTTTGGAGGCATTATATGGTGCTTGAAAGTGTTTTGTGTTACACTGAGAGATGTCCAACATGTAGTTGGACATCCTCATTGATTGAAAGATCACTTTAAACGGGTGGGTATCAAAATTTGACTGTGGTCTCCAACGAGGATGGATCATACTCTAGGCCGATTTTATTGCAGGTTGCATAGACTTTTTTTGCATATAACCCACACGATTATTTGTATTGGTATGGAAATCCCTGTTGATGTATTTTTAAAGTCTAAAGAACATTCAGTCATTATTTAAAAATAGGTAGAATGACACATGCTGTGCCAACCATGAAAACCATTTTGCCTATGAAAAGTAATATTAGCATTTGTGGCGCCAAGAGGATGAATCATCATGACTGTGGAAATCCCTAGATCTCTATAAACATATCTGCATAAACGCATCTTTAATTATTTGCAACATGACAAGATGCTGCCATCAGAAAAATTCTGGTGTCCTTTGTGCAAGCAGTAGACCTACCAATCATCTTTTGGCAAACTTTGGTTACATGAAAGCAAACGATTTGTGTGGATATCAATAGAAGCATACAGGTACTTCATTCACAATCATCTTGCTTTTCTTGTATTGTATTTTATATGTTGTCATACTTCTAACTAATGCTCTGTTAAAGGTGCCTACTATAACATGTTTTCAGCCGTGTTTGGCTGTTACATCACTCTGTGTGATTTTAATATGTAAAGTGCTCCAGAGGAAACCCTAAATGAACTGCCAAAGACTCTATGTACAGTAATAAAACCCATTCACTACTCTAAGCACTAATCACATCAAGTCTCTTTAAGAAAAGGAATGATCCTTAGCCATTTTGTTGATCTCTTCAGCCTCTGTAATTGAAACCTATAGACATTTATGAAACAGTTTCATTCTTCCTGAGTCCGACCACAACACCACATCCTGAGGCAGTGCTTAAAATAAACAGGGGCTTGTGATAGGATCTTTGCCGGTTCGTTTGAGACACAAAAACATGTTGCGATTGGAATTTTGTTTTGTACGCTAATATTTACACTTCAAACAAGAATAGGGCCTAAAGTAAAACAAACAACTCCAGGATTTCAGAATGTCAGGACACTCTCTACTATCCAGGTGAACATCCCTGATTTCGTAGTTAAATGGAAAATAGCTATAAACATCTTCAGAAAAATAATAATAATACAAAGAAATTGAACGTTAATTGGGGAGTTCCTCAAAACTCAGTGTTTGGCCCATCATTGTTTTTAACTTAATGTAACTCAAACTTTAAAATGAGAAGAAGTCAATATGATTTGAGAAGAAATACATTTGTTTGTGTTACAACATGTTTTGAATAATGCTGACTGCATGCCAATGTTGCGGCAGTGTTTGTTTTTTTATATATAAGTCTATATCTGGCTGATCCTTAACCACACATGGTCGTTTTTATTTAATTTGACGACAAATATGACAAGATATTCTTAGAAGTGGACTTAGGTTTTTATATACAACAAATAAAAAGGTGATATTTTTAATTATTACATTTTACAATGAAACTTGCCCAGCTGATTGCTTACAGCAGAGGTGTCAAACTCAAATTCACAGTGGGCCAAAATAAAAAAATCGGTACTAGTCGAGGGCCGAACTGGTTCAATGTTTATTGCAAAACTTATTGAAATGAACTTATTGCACCTGGAACTAACAAAGCTTAAATGATTTCCTATAAAAACAACATTAAATAATCAGTTGCATTCATTTCTTATGGCTCTATCTGCAGCTTTTCTGAAGTCATTTCTTATGATTACATTTTTCCACAGGCCAACAACAGCTTCAAAAAAACTATTTCCCTCAAAGAAAAAACCAAACATGCCCTGTTGTCGCAAGAAAAAAAGTGCAGAAGGAAACATCCATTGAAACTCAGTGTGCTGCTCTGTGATGCTAGTTCAAGCAGATACTTGGCATCTCATCTTGGGTGCAAGTTCATCAATGTTTGGGGTCAGGCTCTGAGCTGAGGAGACCCTCAGGATTGAGTGAAGGTGTGCGTGCAATATACCGGAGGGCCAGATTTAATAGTAATTAGAAATTCTCCTGTGGGCCAAAATGAAATCCACCAAGGGCCTGATTTGGCCCCCGGGCCTTGAGTTTGACACATGTGGCTTACAGCAAGACAATTCTTTTTGTCGGATACGTTTTTTGAGATGTAATGTTCAAATATGCATATCAGTATCTTAATAAAAATGTGTTAATTTGCTATCATTTCCAAAACATAAATCTGAACATTGGATGAAGCCAGGTAAAAAATTGTAAATATTTATTTCATTTAGTTGACATATCAGTCAAGGATTTATTTCTAAGAGGAAATGGCATATCTGTTTTACTTAATACATTTAAGCTATTGGAAAAAAAAATACTTTTGCCATGTTTTAGGATATACTATTTCCATAAGAAAACACTACTGGTTAGAGGTAAAACATTTACTAGATGTCACTATGAAACTTCCCGAGTTATTACCTACATTAAGACCATTTTTGTATTAGAATTTTTCAGAAATATAATGTTAAAATACCCAAATGAATCATTATCTATGCTAATTTTGGGTGAAAATAGTAAATATAACTAAAAAAATATTTGTTGTTGCCGTTTCCATAATAAGCCTTCATAGGGTCAGATATACTTAAGGGACAAAGCACTGAGCCCTGTTTTTGTACAGTTATAAAACAGGGGCGTGTTCCATTCCTTCCTAATAAGGATCAAGGGTTGTTGTGAGGGATTCTGGACTTTAAAGACTTTAATAAACACTGGTGGTCCCTCAGATCTCAGCGGTGCCCTGGACAGAGAGGTCTAGACGTTTCTTTGTAAGTCATATGGAAAGACTCACGTAAACTATACCGTCAAACTTTAGAAGTTGTTATAGTCGGTGAAATTCTTATGCTACTTGTGCAACCAGCTTTGCATTGACTTTCATGCAAATGTGGCACAGTGTGTAACTCTTTTTCTTTCTACCTCAGGAGTGGTGCACCTGGAAAATGCATTTTCGGTAAAGCCCATGTGAGGTTTAATCCCTGCATTCATCATTGAGCGTAAAGAAGGAACTCAGACAGCGACAGTTGGAGGAAGGACCGCCGAGCTTCCCTCTCATCAACTTCCATCTGCCCAAAAGATGTCAACCGCCACGGTAAACAGCGCAGGAAGTGGAACTAAACTCTACAAACACAAGGTAGGCAGGCTTCATTGTTCTTCATGTTATGCTTTCAAAGGAAGATCGCTAACATCCTCATTTTAGAAGACAGCCACACCAGGGATGTGCGTAGACATTTTGAGGTCTGTTGCTCTACCCTGAAGATGGGGTAACTACCCCAAGTGTCACCTAGCAGGATGTAGAATGAATGGTGTATACATGGGCATTTAAATAAGCAAAAATAATGTTGTATTAAATTTGAATGATTAACAACATTTAAAATAATAGAAATTCCAAATGTTTTGTACCATTGATTTTTACTAGTGTTTATTATGTTTCCGTCAGTCAGCTATATGTTATTTAATAACTGTTTAGTGATGGCGGTAATAGAGAAAAGGGCAAGAAGATTAGTTTGATCAGCTCCACACAGAGCTTTCACTGCAGCTCAGTTTGTTGGAGGAAAATAAGTCGAGCTAAATAACATTTTTTTTATTTGTCAAGTTATATTTTCTATATATTAATGCTAATTAGGTACTGGTGTGGGACTTTGTCGGTAGCCTAATCAAAGTAAAATATAATGTCTTGTTGTTTGTTGCTGTCCATCAATGTTTATGGTTTTGTATAAATCCTGGCTGCAAATTAGTTTCCTTGTTAGGAACATTTAAGATTAAAGACTTAGATTTTGATTAGTTTGGTTATAGGGAAGCCAATGCTTGTTCATCGGTATAGATCCAATACTGTGGTCAAGACTAAGCAAGCAATATTCTTCATCAAATGTGATATGTGCTAATGGACTTGTTGGCATGCTAACACGCAGAATTAAAAGGGTTAACGTTATGGAGATTGAGAATTGTAATTTGAAAAACTGCTTGATTTATTTCTGTTTTTTAAACAAGTATCTTTTTTTCTTCCCTGTTCTGGTGAGCTAGCCCACGGCAGCAGCTCTGAAGGGAGCCATCCAGCTTGGCATCGGTTACGCTGTGGGAAACCTCAGCTCCAAACCAGACAGAGATGTTCTCATGCAGGACTTCTCCGTGGTGGAGAGCGCTTTTCTGCCCAGGTACTCTACACTTCCTTATTTTAGTTGACATGCATAAATATGCAGATGAATTCCCATAAAGGATCTTTTCTCTCAAATCACAAAGGTGATTATTTTCTCTTAGAATGAGTTAAAACCTGCTTGCTGTGTTAACTAATTTCTCTGTCTTTAAACTTGGATTTCCAAATCCTTTCAGGCCCCCCCAAAAGCAAATTATAATTGTTTTGTGTACAAAGGGAATGGATAACCTTAAACTACTTCAATCTACTCAGTATTGGTAGGAGTCTGATACTGGCTTGAATCACTGGATATCTGAAAAAAGTTAAATCCAGTCAAATCCATCAGTTTAAATTGTCAACAACTGTCATTCAGGTATACTGTAGGCTTCAGAGTTATACCCGGTATTATACACTGGAATTATATGTATTGATTTATTTTTGGCATTCCTAAATCTCACTTTTAAACTTTCGCACAAATCTGCACTATGGATTTATTTTTCAATGTTTGAATCGGTTCTGACCAATCAGATATGCTGCTTAAAGTTGTGTGCGTGTGGAAAAGTTTAAACAACAAGTTGTATTCGTTTTGAGTAACTGAGTATTGTGAGCTATGTATTTCTTCTTTAGGGAAGTAGAATATTAATTTCATAGTTTGAGCACGAGGTTTTTTAGATGGCTTCAGTAGATAAAGCAACACGCACCCATAGTTGTTTAGGATAGGGGAAAAAGACAGATATAAGTGTAACAGCAGATACACAAAGTTGCAGTGTCAGTATCAGAGATGAAAATAATTTCAACTATCAGATAAATAACAGATACTGTAGCATATATTCATATTTATATATAAAGATTAAGGAAGTCACTTTTGATGTTTACAACCTCAAACTCATTGTGGTTTGGTCAAAAACCACAGCAATATTGCTTTTTCCCAGAAGACATTTTAACATTTATAAAAGCACAGGTGTTACAAATGACACTAACATGACTTTGTATTTAAGTGTCCTTTTAACACACAATAACGTGACACTGAACTGGCATGATCAAAAGGACCCTGAAATACTTCTTGTTTTTTGCACCTGTGCTTTACTTACGGTGACAGAAAATGTTTTGACAGCATGTTGGAACAGCTACTGCTTTCTCGTTGTAGATTTACTTTTTTCTTATCCTAACCTAAATGCATTTTGTTTGTTCTCCAGTGAGGGCAGCAACATGACTCCAGCACATCACTACCCAGATTTCCGTCTGAAAACGTACGCACCACTGGCCTTTCGTTACTTCAGAGAGCTGTTCGGCATCAAACCAGACGACTATCTGGTCAGTGTGGAAATCCACCTCTTCATTCTGATGCAGCTCGATGGTTGATTCGATTGCAACACTTTCTCACTCTAACACTGTTGCATCATTCTGAATTGCAGTACTCCATCTGCAACGAGCCTCTGATCGAGCTGAGCAACCCCGGAGCCAGCAGCTCCTGGTTCTACCTCACCAGCGACGATGAGTTCATCATTAAGACGGTGCAGCACAAAGAGGCAGAGTTCCTGCAGAAGCTGCTTCCTGGGTACTACATGGTGAGCTCCTTCATCGAAAACAAACTCTTGTTGTGCACACCAGTTCACATATTTAGCAAAAACTGTTCAACGTGAAATGTTGGACCTAAAGGTTCCCTGCAGATTCAAATGTGTTACTCATCAAAAGAATAATTGTATATCCTTAAAGTAAAGGTCCAGTTTGGTGCAGTTCTTTCTTTAACTGATTTCTGAATGTTTTAAATGTTGCATTTGTCGTACTGTTTTGCTCCCACACTAGAAAAACAAAAAGCTGTCTCTGTAATGTTAAAAGTTTATTGTTATACCAAGATATTTTCATTTTATTTCATGAAAATGTGATGTCATTACAACAATAAATGTGTCAAGTTAAAAAAAAAGAAACGTGTAAAATATATGCTACCTTTTTAATATAATGCTAAGTAACAGTTTTCGGTTTTTGCCTGCTTCTTATCAGACCTCGGATTACTCTTTTTTTTTTTCATGGACTCTGGCACATCTCAAAACTACGAAAACGATCAATAACAAGCCAAACGTTTCTCTATATACAAATATCTTCCTGAACAAAAACTCTGCTTGTGTTTTGTAGAATCTGAATCAGAACCCGAGGACGTTGCTGCCCAAGTTCTACGGCCTTTACTGCATCCAGTGCGGCGGTGTCACCGTCCGAGTGGTGGTGATGAACAACGTGTTGCCGCGCGCCATTAAGATGAACTACAAGTACGACCTGAAGGGGTCCTCGTACAAACGCAGAGCATCACGCAAGGAGCGCGTCAAGTCCTCGCCCACATTCAAAGACCTGGACTTCCAGGAGATGCATGAGGGCCTGCACTTTGACGCAGACACCTACAGCGCCCTGATGAAGACCCTGCAGAGGGACTGTCGGGTGGGTTCACATAAAGATATACATCTCTTAACATGAGGATGGTTGTAATCAGGGTCTATCAAAACTCAAGCAGAGTCACAGAAGATTGCAAAACATTTCCAAACAATAATCTGGGTTAATTTAATATCACATGTTTTTACACTTCGACTGAAGACACTTTACTCTTCTTCACTTCACTTCGTCACAATGCTATACTAATAATTACAGTGCAAAGTATATGGTTTAACAGAACAAACATCATGTCCAAAAGCTGTTGTAAAGATTGACCCTCGATTACTCGTAGTGGTAGGGTCATAGGATCATTACAATCAGATTGGTTCATCTTCATGCGAGCAGGAATGTGATAAGAGAAATTCATGAAAATATGACCATCAAATTTTGAAATATCTTGCGTCAGAGTAAACATTGTGGCATGAAAGTGGCTCTAGTGAAAAGGTAATTGAGATGAAAAACAAAATGGTGATCCTCTGGGGACCATATGTTTACAGAATTATTTGGTTTTCCAGCTAAACAGATGTTTAGGCTTACCCTCTCCCAATGCTAGCTAGGGGAGAAAATGTACACCTAAGTACGTTTTTGTTTGCATGCTCAAGGTTCAAATCTGCTTCCAAGTACAAGATTATCACAAAGAATGGTGTGTAGGGGTGTAGGGCCATGGGCAGCCAATGGACTTGGAGCTATGATGGCCTCATTGGCACCTGCTTGTTATTTTATTAGCGTGAAACAACAGTGGTCCCTTGATGGAGGATTAAACTAGCATAGCGAAGCACCTGACTCGCATAATCCGAGCACGAACTGGCCTATTTGGGTGTAACGCGCTCGTGTGGGGCCTCTTTTCATGACCTCAGTTAGTGTTGGGTAACACCATGGAAAAGTAAGGGCCTCTTTAGTTTGTGTACAGGAGACTTAGTTCATGACATCAGTGTTTTTTGTCGGAGGGATTGAGGCTCATTTTGTACTGCATATTGGTTTGCAGATTAAGGCTTTAGCTGGGACCTACTTGGGAGTGGACGAGGTCACCTTAAAGCTTTACAGCAAGAACACTTTATACAGTATATTTGTGGTTCATATACGTATAATTTTGTGTTATTTTACCATTTAAAGTCTTGTTTTATTACATGAATCAGCTTTTATTTATGAAATTGATAAAATAATTGCACAAATACCCAGAATGTGGAAAATGACAACTTAATTTTGACAGCGTATGACCACATACTGCAACATAGGAAGGTTCTTTTTGGATTTACCCTGAATTTCAAATCTGATAATATATTATTTTCTCACTAAAATAGATTTATTTATACATACTAAACACACAAGTAATGTAATATGGATGTAGATGCGGGTTGTGCAATAGGTCGCTATTGTTAATAGGTTTGTAAATGTTTTAGGAACAAATTTTCCTACGGGACCAATAAAGTAAATTGTAAAGTAAATAAGCTTGATGCTACTTTATTGACTCAGCTGGAGGATCTGCCCACAAGACAAAGCTTCTGTCCTAAATGATTGTTACTGAAAATTATCATTTCAAAAAGCTCAGATCTTTCTCTTTGGTGGTTCCAATGTTGATGAGCGGTAATTGCCAATGAGTTTTGGGATCTGATATGAGTTACTTACAGTGTGGACTTTCCTGGGACTGTCACCACAGACACTCATAGCTCTTCATACTACAAATAAAAATCTAAGAGGTCATTACTTTCCGATTTGTTTTAAGTGAACTATACATTTATTTGTTGGAGTTGCTCACCAGTTTTCATCTCTCTGCAGGTCCTGGAGAGCTTTAAGATCATGGACTACAGTCTCCTGCTGGGGGTTCATGTTTTGGACCGGAAGCTTCTGAGCAGAGGAAGTCGATGTGACAGCAGGAAGGGACAGAAAGTCCTCTACTCCACCGCCCTGGAGTCCATCCAGGGGAACACCAAGGCCTCCGAACCTGTGGCGGATGACGACACGTGAGTAACGTTTTTATTCTGTTCTCTTTGTGGACAACTTTCTTTGTTTTTTTAGGGGCTTCATGGCAGGTAATATATAGGAAATACAGTTTCAAACATCACATTTCAAACCTTGGTTTCATATTAGAGTTATTTTTGCAGCTATCTCAGAGTAGGTGATTGCCAGATATCTTTATTGCATTGTGAAAAAGCATCAAACCTTGTAACATGACGATGTAAATACATGAAATAAAATGTAAGTTAATCATGGCATAATATACTGAAACGGCTCTCTAGTCTAAACACTTGTATGCTTTAGTTTGTATGTTCTCTGTTTGTTCTACTCTGTTTCTTCTTCTGCTTTTTCAAGCACACACAACTTTCCAATGAACAATGACACAACAACAATACATTGTGAAATGTAGGAAGAACAGTCTGAAAAAAAGTTGATTATAATGATGATGATTTCCATGCTGACGCGACCAAGAATTAGCTTTACTTTATGTTCAACAGCTTCAATTACTTTTCAAATAACATATAGGGACAATTTTAAAGTAAATAACTGTGTATTAATCATTCAAAAATCTTTTTTCAGATTTGGTGGAATTCCTGCCAAAAATAAAGACGAGAACTTTCTCATCTTTTTAGGAATCATCGACATCCTTCAGTCCTACAGGTGAGATCATACAATCACATGATATCTATATCTATTATTCTCTGATGTTTACTGACATCCACATCTCACTTCTAGTTGAGACTTTTTCAGTAAATACAAATGTATTAAAAAAAAAAAAAACAATGTAGAAATACATAAAAAATGATCACATGCTTTTTAATATTCTGTGTTGATTTATTAGTTAGGAATGTTATTTAAAAAAGCAATGAATTAAATATATAATTATCCTGTGTTTGTCCATCATTGTCCTTTTAAAAAATGTGATTTTAATTACATTTTTTGTATCATCGATAGTTTTTTAAGTTATACATTTATTAATGGATTTTGTATTCTTTATTTTTAAATCTTTAATTATTCTGCCTCTTTGTACAGCTTACTCCGGACGAAATAGTATTTGTATGATTACTATAATCAAACTTTTATTGTGTATTGTCAGGTTCATCAAGAAGGTGGAGCACTCCTGGAAAGCTCTTGTACATGATGGGGTAACTGCACAGCCTCCTTCTTGTGTGTGTGTGTGTGTGTGTGTGTGTGTGTGTGTGTGTGTGTATGTGTGTGTGTGTGTGTGTGTGTGTGTGTCCGCTCTGACATTATTTTTTATTTTCAGGACACGGTGTCGGTTCACAGGCCCAGTTTCTACGCGGACAGATTTCTGAAGTTCATGGGAACGACTGTATTTAAAAAGATTCACCGTAAGTAAAGACATCAGGATTCAAGGCTTTCTTGTCATGTGCACATTAGCTACGGTATAGATATGGCAAAGAAAAGTCACAGACTCTTCCAACAGTGCAACATGAATATATATATATATAGAACAAATAAAACAGATGACTCACACATCCTGCTTCCTACTTCCTGCGATAACAGACAGATTCTCGCTTTTTGAATCACTCTTTTTTTATGTCCCTCAGCTTTGAGAGGAACATCTTCAAAGAGGAAGAGGACTTCCATGAATGCAGCAAAGTCTGCCTCTCAGGAGTTTCTGTCCCCACACAGGGAGGAGAAGAAGGAGGAGAAGAAGGCCCAAAGTTTGGACAACCTGGATGGAAACTGTAAGCTTGAGTAATGCATCAAATATTAATTTAAAGCATGTTTATTGTACTATTGTTGGGAGAGGCTTTGCTTGAATCACTGACTGTTTGCTTCAACAGTTTACAGTTCCTCCAAGCAGCCGGATCTCCTTCCGAGAGTTTCTTTCAAGGCAAATGATGAAGAGGAAATTGTTAACAGGTACTTTACTTAAGCAGCACTCATAACTGAACTCTGTGGTTTTAAAAAGTCTGCCTTCCCCAATTGATCACTTAAAACACTATGCAAATACACTTAACTGAGCAGAACCAATAAAAAAGATGTGAAACACAAAAGAAAATCAGTTATCTGTATTTATTTTACAGTATGGAGGTTTTTTTGCGACACTGTTATCAAAATGAAACATGGAGAATCTGAACAAGTGTGAGCTTTAAATATTAGAAAAACTTAAGTATTCTGAAATGTAAGTTTATTTAATTCCTTGTTTTAGTTTCAGGGTGACTCAAGTTGAGAGTTGTTGAAAATCACATTGGCATCAACCCTTAATAAGCAAAATTAGCTCTATTTACACTTTTCTGATGTAAAATGTCATCAAAAGAAGAGCTATGAGCAACATTTTCTGTGCTCACTTACATCATTACATTACACAACAACACATTCTCCTGTATTTTTCCTTAGCAGTGAAGAGCGCCGAGCCTCCAGTTCGACCATCGCTCTGGACGATCCTCTGCCATCTCTCAGCAGGAGTCAGTCAGACTCTGATCTGGACGTCTACTTGGTATGACATTTTTATTTAGTACCTACATTTTGCGTGAAAAACATTTCAGTTATACGGGCTTGAAATGAATACCAAAACAAAAATTCTGCTGACTTTTTGACCCTAATCTAAAAGCCTGTATTTCTGCTTCTGAATCAACAAACGGTGCTCACGATGACTCAGATCTGACTAAGCAGAAGACACTGAATAATCTAAATAGAAACATAGACCAAGAGACGTTACTATTCATCACCTGCTTACATATTCTGGCCAACCATTTGCTGCTTTTCCAACATGCAATTTCTTACATTTTCCTCAAGCTTTCTTCTCCCATGGTGGTCGAGCCCCAGAGGCCCCTGTTACGTCTGTACAACATGACTCAGCCAAACACTTATCTTACATAACCACAAATCCTTGTTCGGGCTTATGAAGCTGCTCTTCAGCCCACATTAAGCATTCTGTTAGGCGCTTGGAAGCCTGGAGACGTTGGACTTAATCGGATCTTAAATCCTCTGACAGAAGACAGAGGGATTCAAAACTATAGCGAGGGTCAAAAGGAAATATATAGGCTTTGGATTTCTCTGACAGCCATTTTGCCCTATTTTCTTTAACTGGTTGCTCAGAGACATGATGTGCAATTTCCAAGATGTTCTACCTAAAAGAATCCATAATGTTGTTTTTGCAGGCTTTACAGAATGAATTACTTCTGTACACACTTCACATTACTGCTGACCATTATCCAAAGCTGATTTAGTGTTTTAAATATTGGCATATGTGCTTCCTTCTTTACAGGGGGCCACTGTTTTTCAGTCATTTCAGTAAGGTATGAAAATCATTATGTAGATATATAAAATTGCCTGAGCATTATAATATATACTATTTTCCCTTTTTAAAGATAGCCTATAGGGAACATTATTTGTGAACCATGCGTCACCCGAAGGGTACAAAAGAAAGGCATTAAAATAAATGTATGTCTTGCGCTTGTTCTGAATAATTTAGCAACAAGTCAATTTACAATTAACATGAATTTCCTACCAAAATGTCACTTTAACATTTTATCCTATCAGACATGTTTGCAAAATTGTCGTAATTAGCCCAAAAGCTTTTTTCTGAGGTCACAGTGACCCTGGCCTTACATCCATATATACGAGATGTTGGTGAAGAACTTAATATCATGAGCAGAGACAGGCCTGTGGAATATAAAGAGGAAACAATGCAGGATGTTTTTGGAAAGTGGTCAGCAGTAAAGTCGCACAAATTGGGAAAAGGGAGATTTTCAACACACTGAATATAACAACCTTACAAAAGCTAAAAAAAGCAACAATTGGAAAAGGGCAATTTGGGAAGGTATCCATTTCAAGAAGAAACAGGCTCCACAGTCAATCAAAACATAATGATTCTATATGCAACAAGGAATTAATTGAAAAACACCTAATTATCCCACAAGTAGGCCATAAAAAAACACAACGAAATCAATAAACTAATACAAAATAAGGGTATCCCTAATATATTGAGGTGTAAGCATACAGACATGCATACCCAGGTTTTAAGAACAGGCCAGACTAAATCTAGCTACTAAATGTAAAACCAGAACATGATCCGAGGCCCAAAGCTATATTTCTGCTTTAATTAATCTACTATATAACTGACCATTAGCATTTTAATAACTAAACTTCTCATCAATAAACACAGGTGACAAAACATTTTGACAAGTGAAGGTGATTTGGGGTAGTGGGGAAGCCTCTTGTGGCCAACGGGAGTGTTACAATGAACTATTATGATAGTACAACTTAGTCTTAGTACAACTATAATAATAATACTAATAACAATAAACAGGACACAAAAATAATTTGAACATTTTTCACCAACCCTTTTGTCTTATTTGCCTCACAGGGCTTCCGTAGATTCGTATGATTTTGCAGCCAAGTTATTTAATAGAATAGAATAAAAATATATCTTTATTGTCTTCCAAGAACATTTCTTTGGCAACTCTAACTGCAGTAAAAAATAGACACAATAAATAAATAAGAGTGGTGAAAGCAGAGGTAGTAGGGATGACAATGCAACGAGATAAAATGAAATGTCAATGTGCATATTTACACTTAAAGTAAAAATATATATTAGTAAAATAGCCATAAGTATGTCTAAATAGTATGCAGTAAAGCACTGGGTTTAGGTGTGCAACCACAGTGACATGCAAATGATAAAAACAAATTGCATATAGCAAGATTACAAAAGATAAACCGCAACATTTGGACAAGACCACATTTGGAAAACATAAATTGAAAGAAGAAAAACCCCATTATCTCACAAGTAGGTCACTGGCATAAAAACGCACAATAATCACAGCAGTGGAAGCAGATAGTGAGCAGCTCCAATCCCAGTTTGGCGCAAGTGTGGAACTAGAAAATGGATATTAATAAGTTCTCACCTGCCTCTATGGGCTTCTGTACAAAAAACAAGCAAACGGAAGTTATAATCTTATTATTGTACATTTGGTTATGCGTACCATGAGCGGGACAAATAAAAATGAAATGAAATAATGTAACTTTTGAACCCTAACCTTTTGCCCGGTAAGCGTGTTCAGTCGTCCTTCTACAGTACGACTAGTTTGTAAATGTTCAACTCTAACTTAGTTCGAAAATGAAAGGGGAAAATAATCTTGTTTTTCTTTTTCTTGTAGTGAGGATCAACCTGGACTTCTGAATGTTGACCTCCCAGTCCTACGATGTCACATCAGGACCTCACAACAGTGTAAATGTGTCACCAACTCTGTGCCTTTCCTTTTTTAGTCAAAGTTGATGTGCCTAATCGCTGGCTCTTTTGTAGGCATCCCCTACTTTACAGATACAGTCACTGATCCACTGTGTCACTGCTAAACACTATGAAGCTGTTTCTTCTCCTGTTATTTGCACTCTGCTGCTAATTTTACAACAGTGCTAACAAGAAAATTGACTTTGACTTCTACTTTTGGACGTCTGAATTTCTGTGCAAATCTTTGAATATTCTCAGCGGCTGGATCCCTGAGGAAATAGATTTTCTTAAAAATTAAATGCAGGGAAAATAATTGTTATTTTCAAATTATATTATTATAAAGAGCTGTCTTGTCTAGAATCTGAAAGAAAAAGTAATCTATTGATACATTCAAATGTGTGTTATAGTGTTTATACCCTTATAAACATCATGTATATGTGATTTTAAAATCCCAATTTGCTTAGGTCAATATTAGCCTATATACTTATTAATATATTCTATATGTTGTGTGTATTCTTTTCTTCAATATGCAGAATCTGCTGCCACGTTGACAAACAAGTATTTGCTTATTTTGTGGTTAGAACAAGATGTTTTAATTTAATATTTTATTACTAGCTTTACCTTTCCCTGTGTCTTTTATTCTCTGGAGAATGTGTTCATCTCCACTGGGATTTATTCCATCCTGGAAGTAAATAAGTAGCCTACTTTGTTATTTGTTTTGTCATCTTTTTGCTTTTAAAAGAGTGCTTTTATGTAATTTATAGGACTACAACTGTATTGTAGCAATACTTCCAACTTGTGTTTGTGAAATAAATCCAATGTCCTAAAAAAGTCACTGTCTGTTCCAAATTATAATTTAGTATTTGATTTCTTTAAATGAACTTCCCCTCCATGGCCCTTTCTCATTTCATCAAATCCCCCTCCTCGACTCCTTGGTCCTCCGGTAGTGACCCGGAAATGAATTTCAGCGAGCCATGTTGAAGGACATCTCATTTCTCTAAATGCACTTCGAGGATCGAGCGTCGAGGAGGCTCTCTGGAGGAGCTATAACCGAGGATACACTGATGGGTCCTCCACGGTCCTCCACGGGTCCTTCGTAGATGCATTTCCGGGAACAGAGATGTTTCAGCAGCATCATCCCAATACCCCTCCTCAACTCCTCCTTTCCCTCACCCGCTTCCCTTCCCTGCGTCTTAGCTCCGCCTCCGTAAGATGCGAGCGAGAGGTGACGCGAGGACAGAGGAGTCCTCAGGTATTCATTGGGACGTCCTCATTCTCTTAAACGACGTCTGTTATCCCCTCTCATCGGGTCTAACTGAATAACCCCTTAGAACCGGCCCATTTGTTGTTAAACATTTATTTAAATGAATGAATCTTTCTCTTGTTAGTCAAGGAATTCCATGTATGATGGTTGGTCCTGCTTGTGTTCCGTTTTGGTGTCAAATGTAGCCTACATTTAAATAAAAATATAATTATAGTAATGTGAAAGCCTTTTAGAAATGAATTGCACATAATAATTCCCACGGAGCTGTGAGCACTTATACATTTATGTGACGCTTTTCCACTCATCTTCCAGTTGTCGGTTTTCCTCTGTTGAAATTGACCAGCTGTGAAGGTGGGGGCGGGGCTTTTATACGCGAGTAGTGAAAACACTTCCGCGTAGTCTGCTCGGGTGTATCCTCCGGCCCATTCCCAAACCGCCCCCTACACCCTACCCCTCCGTTTGCGCGTTCACGCGGAGGGTCCGCCATATTGAGGGCTGTTCCAAAGCAACGAGTGTGGAGCGGTGTGGAGGGGGAGTGGGCTATCAAGCCCTCAAACAGCGAGTCTGCAGCGGNTATCCGCCTTCTTTCCTTTATCTTTCCATTCCCAAAACAATATAGCTACATAAAGAAATGGCATATTTTGGACATAGTTTGAATGGTGATTAATCATGAATCATGATTAATCACCATTCAAACTATGTCCAAAATATGCCATTTCTTTATGTAGCTATATTGTTTTGGGAATGGAAAGATAAAGGAAAGAAGGCGGATATATCCATTTAACATACAGTATGTAGCCTATGTATGTTTATTATAAAATTGTTCTGTGTGTCAAAATGAAAGACAGCCCACACACCTATCAATCATCAAACCGTGGGGTCTTAATTCACGTAATGTTGTATCGATGTATAGAGATGTATTACAGAAAAAGTATTCTCCGCGTCGGGACTTCCTGCAACAACACCACGCCGTTATCTTGATTCTGATTGGCCAGAAGACATTATCAAAGATGTTCTATTGAGAAGACATTCACTACGTGACAAAAGTTTTCAAAACCGTTTCTAGTCTTCGGTATTTCCAGACAAGTGACTACTGAAATCAATCTTACTAATTGCTACCTGTACAATTTACTCGGCGCGAGTTGGCGGAATTTATTTTGCTCACTTTAACATCATTTTTCATGGTGGGGCTAAGCCATTTCTTGGTATGGCTGTAACCTACACCTGCGTTGCCACTGGTGGGATGTATGGGGCGGGCCATTCTGCACATGCGTTAAATGCGTTAAATATTTTAACGCAATTAATTCAAAATATTAATTACCGCCTTTAACGCGATAATTTTAACAGCATTAATTTGTATATAATACTATGAACAGTGCCATTCTGAATAATGAATACTGTTACTTTTTATACTTCAAGTTCATTTACCTGATTATACTTATGTACTTTTAACAACTTGAATTCAGGAATTTTTTTGGCTATTTTGACTCAGTGGCGGCGCCAGAGATTTTCTCTAGGGGGTGCTGTGGGGTAGCTTGACGTTTCATAGAGGGTGCTCAAACTTTAAGGGTTTCCCATTAATGCACCCAGCGCTAAGTTGAATTTCTACTCACTTCATACTTGTTAACCTTCCGAATTTTCGCGGGAGACCTCCCGATTCATTGCCCTCTCCCGGTTTCCTCCTGGGTCATATTTCTCCCGCATTTTCTCCCGATTTTCTGACAAAATCAGATTTACCAGGACTGAGTAATGCAAGGCATGCACTTGAAACTCACAATATAGCATGTTAATGTTAATCTAACAGCTCGCGATCCACTAGCACCCCCCCCCCCCCATCTGCATTTTTTGAAATGCTCCAAGATTTTTTTTAAATATTGAAGTTTAAAAGCATCAATCTGGCACTTTGGAGAGCAAATGAACAACATATGAAAACAGAACTTGTAAACGATTTAGCATTTTTGAAAATGCTCCCGAAGATTTTTTTTTAAATATTGAAGTTAAAAGCATCAATCTGGTTGCACTTTGAGAGGCAAAATTGAACATACATATGAAAACAGAAACGTAAACCGATTTTACTATTTTCTTTATAGATATTTTTACAAATCACTCCCCTTTTAAAACAAACAACGTTTTGAGCCCCACTGAGAATAACTAGAATAAAGTTAACTATCTAAACACTTGAGATCTCCTTTTATTTCACCTGAGCTGAGGTTTATCTGAGACCTCTCAGTCTGACGCAGGAGAGAGTTCTCCTCCACTTTGTTGTGAAAAAAGCTCCCTTTTATCGGTTTGCTTTGGCTAGCTAGCACCAGATGCCTAACCACAAACGATCTCCGGTAGAAGCTAGAGACCCCACCGGTGCTCGCGCACGCACACAAATGGGCTCGTGCCACACACCACACAGGCAGGAGCTTGGAATGAAACACAGGAGAGCCCAGAAGTAAGCTACTTGTACTCACGAGCCTATTATGTGCAGAATCCTCTTTCGCTTTCAGGTGGTTTTTGATTGAGTGTCCATACGTGGAACGGTTAAGGGACTAACAAACCGTCCATTTGTCCTTTTGCTGTTAGTCAATAATTTGGCGCTCCAGCTAACAGCGAGTCACTCAAGTGTCCAAAGTAATTTAAGCCTATGGGTAGGTCAAAAATCTAATGGGTGCTGGCCATTGGCCTTATCACCTGTGTTGGCTTTATGTTTTTGGTCAAACATTTGTTTGTTTCACATTTGCATTGATGTAATCAATAATCTTTCTAATTTAATTTAATTTAAAAAAAAAAAAAAAATTTCGAAAAAAGAAAAAAAACATTTCTTGGGGGTGCTTAGGGGGTGCTTTGGCAATCCTGGGGGGTGCTTCAGCACCCCCTAGCTCCCCCCTCGCGTCGCCCCTGTTTTGACTGTAGAATTTAAACTTCTACTCAAGAAAAAGATCTTCTTTAACCTTTGTCTTTTTCTTCTTTCCCTCCCCACGCCCTCCCCCCGCCCCTCTAAGTGGGACATAGTTCGAGTTGTTGGAGGTTTGTTTGGGAACACCAGAGGAGACGCTCTGCCTGCATGTCGGCCCTCAAGACCGTGACTTCAGGCCAAAAGAGATGAAGATCCAACACATGACCTTTGGCACATTTGGCAGCTAGACAGCTGCGAGGGTTGCGGAGCTGCTGGTAATATTTCCTGTTCCTCTCTACAAATACTACACCGGGCACTGGACTAAGACTGTCTGGATTTGGCTAAATCCTCAGGGAAAACCCCCGAGTGAATAGAGAATGTGTCATTATGTAAGGATTGTACCACTTATGAGCAAGCTGAATCAATAGTGATTTTTAAAGTTAGGAAGTGTCACCTTTTTTCTCTTGATCCTAATCTAGTTATTTTAAAGAGGACATATTATGCTCATTCTGAGGTTCCTTTTTGTATTCGGAGCCTCTAATGCAACACTTTTACATGTTTTACTGTTCAAATAGGTCTTTGCATTTAACCATGTGTATACAACCTAAACAATTCAAGAATAAGACAATGCATCAATGCAATATTCTGCTCTCTGATGTCAATCCTCCTTCCACTGTTTTGAAAACAGGATAAAAAAACAGTATACAACAGTCTTGTTTTAAAAAAATATATAATTTTAAAGTTGAATATAAGAGGAAATGACTTGCAAAGATTGCCTTTTTTCTGTCCTGCTCCGGGATCCTTGTCTTAGAACACTAAGAACTTTGATTTTAAGGAGAAAAACTATATATATAAGGACATTAGGCTGTAAAGTTATGTAACAGTTGTACATTGTAAAACTCTCATACGTCTGTGTATTCTTTGTGTATAACCCTTCAAAATGAATCAACAACTGGAATAAAGGACGTAACTGTCAACTGTGATTTAATTATGCATGTTTTTTTGGGCGTGTGAGACAAGTATATCTTCACAAGGCGTTTCGACCACAATTTAGCTGAAGTCAGAACCACAAAATGACTTTGCAGGAAAAGGAAAGCTTTATTTCTTAACTATTTTTGAACATACTGTAGGCGTGTTTTGTTGAGGACAACACAGACGACTAACCCAAATGTGTACTTATCTACATATTTGTTAAATGTGACACATGCTTTTGTAAGTTTCAGAGCAGTTCATTTTCTTAGCTTCATAATGGCAGAGAGGCTGTGTTGATGCAGCTGTGCTCATCACACACAGTCGGAGAGAGAATCTGCCCTCAGTGCTGCTGGGAGGCTCTCAGATATCTAGAGCAAACACACAGAGACAGGTCGGAAATAATGAAATGCATTAATGTTCAACCATAGTAAACTACAAGACTAATGTAACAAGGCCATTAGGGCTCATCACTCAAAACACTGCGGCGAGGATATCACCATCACAATGGAATATGTCCACTCGCTGCCAATGTGCTTTACTTATATCTTAATGATACTATAAGGGCATTTTTAGACAATCCTTGTTGTTAAGACACCAGAGGCTGTTGAGTACTAGAGTCAGCATCCTGCTCTGTTGCACTATTTCTATTTTATTTGTATTTACTTACACATCTCATAACATTCTCTTGCACTATTTTATGTCCTTTATATATACATGTTGCGCTGTTGGAGGAACCTGTGACTTTAGTTTTTAATTGCCATGTACATATGACAAATAAAGCCTTGAATCTTGAATCTAGAGAGCATCCTTGGCATTAACCAAAACAGTGATATTACATTACATCATAATCATATATCATATTCCTTATTTGTAATCATTTTTTTTCTAGTTTTTTAAAGGTTACACACCTAATTGTCAGCCTGAAAGAAAAATGTAAAACAAATCAAACATCGTATTTGGAATAATATTACTATAACTCTCTGATGTACCTGTATCTCCAGGTGGTCAATGTGCCGCCGGCGTCTGTCAATCATTCTGTCCCGGGCTGAAAACTCTGAGTTTAGACTGGCTAGCTTTCGGGCCTGTTTATCCATCACAACCTACAACACATCAACGATAATAAATGGCAAGAAAAATCGAATCTGTCACATGTTAAATATGTGTTTGTTTATTTATTAAAGGTCCCCAAGTATACTGTTTTTCATCAATATATTATAGGTCTCAGATACAAAACATGTCTCTGAAGTGTTTGGCATACCTTGGTTGGTGATTGGCTGATGGTTACATAAGCCAAAAAAACGTTATGACATCATAAAGTGGCCAAAATCAGCTCTTTTTCAGACAGGTTTTTATATAAATGGATCAGGACACATGTTGATGTATAAAAGACATGGAAAGGTGGATTTTGCATAATAGGTGATCTTGGTTGATGATGTTGATGATTCTTGGTTTCGGCTCACCTTCACGGAGCCCATGTCAAGCTGGGTTTTCCCCCTGGACTTGGGCTCCGTCAGGCTCTTTATTCTCTGAAGGACCCGGTTGATCCGCTGCTGCATGGCTCCCTGCTCCGTCTCCACCTCCTCCAGAACCTTCTGCAGATCTCTGGCTGCCTTCCACAGCCGGTCCCCTCGGGCGCTCAGGATCTGCAGGTCCTTCCTCACCTCAAAACCAAATCATTGTACAATATTTATAGACAGTGACTGTACGAAAATGCAGGTTTCAAATTAATATATCAATAATTTCTGTGTGAAGCAAGTCTAAAAGCGACACCAAACTCAAAATAACAGTCTGAATTCGTAACTTTTGAAGTCCAACTAAAGTTCAATATGACTTTTAAGTCTTTATTCTTTAAAAAAATACAAACAAATTGTATTAATAAAGTGTAATTATAATAATACAAAATAAAAATACATAAATAAAAAAGACAAGATAAAAAAAACGGAAAAATTAACCCTTACATTTTTCGTTTCCAGGTTCTCAGTTGTGATGATTTTTTTTTTAATATTGTGGTTGACAAACAGATTTTTGTTTTATCTTTTTTTAGTTGCAGTCAGACAACATAAGGAATATAATTGCATAACCTTGGGCTTTCTCACATTCCTTGTATGTGGCATTTGAGACGTAATGAATAATGATTCAATCAAGAGAATAAATGGCAGATTTGATCATGAAAACTGTTGTCAGTTTGAGCCCTACAACTTCCAAAAAACCACAAAAGTCCCACAAAGTGTTGTGGGTCAGAGAACAGGAAAAATGTGTTTCTTTTGCTCTGTAGGGTGGTACCCTTCCTCACCTGCCTGTGATTCCGTCCGGCCTTCAGACTCTGCTTCCTGAGGCTCTCCAGGTTCCTCGTGGCTCCGTCCAGCTCGGCCTCCGCCTGCTCGCCCCTCTGCTCCAGCTGCCGGGCGTTCTCTTCCACGCCCTGCAGCAGGTGAGCCAGGCCCAGCGCCAGCATCTTCAGCTGGGACACGGGGACCCCCCCTGCCTCCTCTGAGGTGGAGGGTGGAGGGGCTCGCTGGGCCTGGCAGAGCCCCACCAACAAAACAGACAGCTGTAGCACTCGGGTGACCCTCATATTCCAGGATTTCATCCGTTGAAGCCTCTATGTCCCCTTCTAAAATCTAGATCCTTAATATTGAGTGTCCGAAACCAGATCTGATTAACATCCCAGATATGTGGCTTCAGACAGGGGCTCCTTCAAGCTCAGGAGAAGAAGCTACATCTGCTGGGCCCAAGTGTCCTAATGAGCCTCAAAGGTTCCCCCAGGAGGTCTGGAGCTTTGAGAGTGATGAGGGATGTACAGATGAGCAGAGGAAGGACAGCCATGCAGACGAAACAAGGGGGGAGTTCCCAGACTCACGCATGGACTATAAAGTAAAAACATGTAACTGGACTGCACTTGGAGTATTCTAAAAAAAATCATATCCAGAATTAGCAAAAAATGGATGCCTTTATGAAGGGTTTACAAAACACAAAACATGCTAATTAAGTGCATAATATTAAGCTTCAGGTTTACTGTAGTCAACGCTGCTGAACTTTGGACACCTTGCTCCTCAGGCAAATGAGCCTGTGTGATTATAGAATAATAGTACAGCAAGAGAGACCTCTGCTGGCTGTCTGAGGAACTTGAGTTAGCTTCTTGCTCTGAGAAGGGTCTCAAGTTTACTGTAATCCGAGAACATGATTCGTTTTTTTGTGTTTTTGCTGTTTGAATTTGCTATGTGACATTTGGGTATTTCTACTGTCACTAAGGAAGCCTAGAGGGGACTGTTTTACGAGAATAAATAAATAAATCCATATTTTTCATCTCCACATAGCCTATCTTGTCAACCTATAATTTGCTCAGTAACCATTTGCTTAGATGTTCTTATAATACTATGTATAATGTGCAAATAAAGAGTGGAGAATTCATGATATGCCCTGTGTAGGGTGTCCTTGTATTGGATAAACTGTAATAAAGTGACCTACAGTAGGATAGAGTACCTTCCAGGGGAGAAAACATGAAGCATTGGCCTGACAATGTTGATTCAATGCACATCCCCTTGCAGTGGAGATAACACGATAAAGTGTTTTCTATGGTAACCTAACAGTAAAGAAAGTGTTAAAAATGTCTATCTGGGCAGACCTTGAAATCCAAAAACGCATATTTAGGCTGCCCTGCATGCTAGAAAACGTGCTGTTGTGTCACTAACCCACCACTCTCTTTTTGGCCCTGCCTCATATGCCGCCTACAGACCTTTATTTATTTTTAATTTTGACACTGAAAAAGAGAGGTGACACATAGATATAATATTACAGTGGGCTTCGATTGTTTTTTGCTTATGCATTCTGATGTGAGTGAGTGTATCAGAGCTTTTTTGGCTTTGTTCACTTCCTACACTCAGCCTCTGAATGTAGTGCTTTGTACCAAGGAGAGCCAGACCAACAAACTGTTCTTTGAATTGTTTTGGAGTCTAGCAGCCCTAACGCACAAACGACACTATGTGTACTCATAAAGCCTGATTTATAAAGGAGAGAAAGCGTCAGTCTGCCCACTGCTTCCTGGCATTCAGGATTCACAGAAAGCTGCAGGGAGGCAGCATCACTGAGACTCTGAGGCTGCGGACCGGACACAATATGCAGTAAGTTCAAATGTTTTTTTTTATCATTTTAACAGACATTTTAAACATTTCTGATGAGGATTAAAGATTCTATGCTATCAGAAATATCTTCGAAGATACTTGTCACATGAAATACGTTGAGTCTTCGAAATGTAACCTTTTTGTGTATCCAGTCAATGTTTTCGTTTAAGCCGATGCAGTGAAGAAAATGTCTAAACACTTTTTTTTATTTGCATTTTAAGAAAATATTCACAAAGCATTCGTAATAAAATAAACACATAGATTAACTATAACAGATGAGAAATCCGAAAAGAAATAATACAATAAGAGTAATAATAATATTACAAATAAAAAGAAAGGATACATTATTAATACTCAGGTATACATTCATTAAACTAATTATATTGTTCTACTACTTGATCCATTTTCCCACCTTTCCTCAAAGATATGCATTTGGTTTCTAATTCTCATAGTTGTTTTCTCCATTACATTCATTTCATTTACTAGAAATGTCTCAACTCTATGACTGCTTGTAATCTAATTGAATAAAAGTGTGCAGTTTGAAATAAGACAACAGTTGGAAGAAAACATTGACAACAAAAGTGACAAGGAGATTAAAATTGCAAGTGTGAAGATGCGGTTAATAACAAATGCTTTTACTCTTGAGGAAAAAAGTGTTAAAAATACCAAGCTATGAGAAATAAATGTTTTCAGTGCCCAGACAGCAGACAAACTTGGTGGTTGTTTGCCACACCAACTTTATTTATACATCAAATGTTGTGTGTCTCAGTTTGTTCTGCTGCCCCCAAGTGGCCAAAATGTCCAATAATGCAGCTTTATAAAGTAATACATACTAAAGTTGGTCTCTGGCTTATTCCTGTCCCAGCTGGACTACGGTGATACCATTTATAGATTTGCCTGTCCCACTCTTTTGGCCAAACTTGACCCACTCTACCATGCTGCACTGCGATATATATCAAATGCACCCTATAAGACTCATCATTGCAAACTGTATAGCCTAATTGGATGGTCCTCACTTAGTATGCGTAGGATGCATTATTGTTTTTTATTAATGTATAAAGCCATTTTAGGTAAGCTTCCACTGTATACTGTATATGTGCCAGATTTGCTCCAGTTTGTGATTCTTCCAACCTCAGATCCAGTGCCTGGATACGGTTCCAGGTAACTGCCTTTTTTTTTCGTCTTTTTGATTACTTAGTTGTGTTCTCTGTATTTTATATGTCTGTGTTATGTGTAATAATGTGTAACGTAGCTGCCTTCTTGGCCAGGTCTGCATTGTAAATGAGATTTTATCTCAATGCTTTTTATCTGGTTAAATAAAGGTTAAATAAAAAAAGCGATACGAGTGCACAGAATATTATCCCTGAACCCTTTTTATGTGGCCGCTTTTCATAGAATCTGCTATATTCACCTACTCTAAATGCAAAAGTTAAATGTATTTAGTGAACACAACAAAATTACATAAGAGGATTTGTATATGGATGTTTTCACACTTAACATAATATACTAGGCCCGACTAAGCGCAAGTTTAAAACTATTGGTCCATCACGTCTCTTTGACTTTTATTTATAAGGGTTGCAGATGCTTGGTTTTCCCACAAAAGGACACTATTACATATGCTGCCACGAAAGAGGCTGTCATATCTTCAGCCAAGACAGCCAAATCGTTGTCATCCATAAATATGCTGTTGAAACTGATACCAACGGGTATAATACAGGGCCTGCCCATTGAAAATTCAATATGCCTTTGGTTCAAATATGTATAAGTATGTGTGGAGTGTAGGCGTTATGTCAATACCTATGTCCTAAGCAAGGAAGCGGAGGGATGAGAAGTATTTTTCTGAGCAAAGACACAGTTCAAGTTAAGTCTAAGTTCAAGGGCTGACATCTTGGTTTTAAACTTCAACGTTTGGCGCTGTTCACATCTATACTATACTGATAAAATCCTATCTGGTGCACTAGGGTCTCAGTGAGCATGTTTTAAATCTGAGGATTGTGCTGCCATCTGCTGTTGAAGTTTTATCAGCACAAGTGGGAAAGATGATAATTGTGTCAGGCCTACATCCATCTTGACTTATAGCCTTCAGTTGATTTTAGATCTTAATTTAGAGTAAAAAAAGAAAGAAACAGCTCTTACTTTACTTCTTGGTCTTAGTTACAGACCACTTCACTTTACAAAGAACACATCTTGCTTAAATTGTACCAATCTAATCTAGCATATTTGGGATCTCTAAAGTTTGATTCATTAGGAGGTTGTAGTTCCATAAATGATTTTTAATTAAATGTTCCACTAATTTAAACAATATTTGTGTGTTTAGGTAATTCTGCTACCACTAACAGCGCATACATCTAAATCAAGAAGAGATATTTTTTTGGCTGTTATTGGGATCTAGTTCACAAAAGTTTTAGTTTGGTATAGTGTGTGAGCGTTAGCATTGTCTGGTTTAATTGAAGGACATCCATAAAGCAGAGGAGCCAGGTGTAATCAATCAACCAATTAGTGGCTGACTCACATAAAACCAGTAGTCTGTGGTTCAGTGTGTAGCTCCTGTCTCAACTTCAAGGAAGTGCAGAATACTGGTGAGTGTTCATTTATGTTTGATCTTGTGCTACAGCAAGAGTTTTGAGTATCATTTATTATGTTGTGCTTTATATGGTGATGGCTATGATGTTTAAATGTTCGAAGAGGTCCCTATGAAAGCCATTAAGCCTTATGACTCAACAATTCTGTAGGCCTTAATTTTAGACCGCAGCTCTTTGTTAGGGATCTCTAGTTGAAGGGGGATATGTGTTGATTTGAATTGACTCTAAACTTTTCTCTCAACTCCAGATTAAAGATGTCTGGCCGTGGAAAGAAAGCTGTGTCCAAACAAAAATCTATGTCCCGGTCTTCCAGAGCAGGGCTGTCTTTCCCAGTGGGCCGCATCCACAGGCTGCTGAAGAAAGGCCAATATGCCAATCGAATCGGCAATGGTTCAGCAGTGTACCTCGCAGCAGTCATGGAGTATCTCTGTGCTGAAATCCTGGAGTTGGCAGGAAACGCTTGCCATGACAACAACAAGCGTCGCATTGCTCCACGACACATCTTGTTGGCAGTGAAAAATGACGAAGAGCTCAACACACTGCTGGCAGGAGTCATAATCTCTGAGGGTGGTGTCATCCCAAACATCCATGCAATCCTTGTCCCCAAGAAGAACCAAGGCGCCCAGGGACGAGAATCCAGCTAAAGATGTTCAGTCGAAATAGTTTTAATAATGTGTTTTGCTAATTTTATAATAAAGTGTTGTGTTTTTTAAACTGATGCTTGTCTTATTTGACACTTACATAGCAGATAAGCAACTTTGGTTGAATGCTAAGAAAAGTGCTCAATGTCTTTCTCCCTAACTGCATGCGCTTTGAGGAATCCCAAGTTGCACTGATTAATTGTTGGATAAACTCTGCCAACAGTAACCCTAGGACCCTACCCTAAATATGTGCAGGTTGTGATTTTTATTTTATGATAAAGATACAATTCTGTCTGCAATTGCTGTCCAACATGCTGTGGAGAAACAAGTGCCATTGCTGCAGTTTACTATTAGGCACCAGCCGCACCACTCATGATTTACATGTCTGATCAGTAATGCATGCTATTCCAAAAGTATTCATTTCAACCTGACTTGTTTTGGCTGCTTTATGTAATCAGACCTTACT